AGAATTAAATACCAGCATGGTCACCACAATGAACAGATTTCAGCAGAGCTTCCAGACTAAGACCAACTGAGAAAAAGGAACAAGGGGACCATATCTGAAAAATTGCCATTGAAAATGTTATGAATAGCAGTGGGACATTGTCTGATACAGTGCTGAAAGATGAGTCCCTTAGGTTGAAAGGCATTCAAAATATAATTGGAAAAGAGCTGCCTCCTCAAAGTAGAGTTAGCATTAATGATTTGGATGGGTGAAAGCTTTCAGGACCTTCATTTGCTGATGCGACATGACTCAAAATTAGAAGAAACAGCTGCAAACATTCATTAAATAATCAGTACATGGAATGTATGAACTATGAATCTAGGCAAATTTGAAGCCATCAAATATTAAATAGAATTCATAAAGATCAATATGCTAGGCATTAGTAAGCTGAAACGAACTGATATTGACCATTTTGAGTCAGAAAATGTTATGGTTTACTATACTTGGAAGGAGTCCTAGTATGGCACTGTGGGTTAATGTGCTGGACTGCAAAGTTGGTTTGAACAGCAAGATCAGCAGTTCAAGCTTACCAGCTGCTCCTCGGAAGCCCTATACAGGGTCGTTATGGGTTGGAACTGACTCGATGGCACTTAACAACAACAACAACATACTAGGAAAGACACATTAAAAAGGAAGGGTTGCATTTATCATGAAAACATTTCATAATCTGTCTTGAAGTACATTGCTGTAATTGATAGATAACAACCATATGCCTAAAAGGAAGACCAGATAATATTATTTATATTCAAATTTTGTTTGGCAATTCCTTTATTGTTTTGAGTCACCTTTTTTTGGAATGGGAACAGATATGGCTCTCTTCGAATTGGTTAGTCAGTTGGTCTTCCAAATTTATTGGCACTGACTAGTGAGTGAGTGCTTCCAGCACTGTATCAGCTTCTCATCAATCACTCACCTGGTTTCTCATCAATCTTGGAGACTTTTTTTTGCAAATACCTTCAGTGGAGCTTGGACTTCTTTCTTCAGGACTGTTGATTCTGGTCATATGCTGCCTCCTGAAATGTTAAACATTGACCAATTTTTATTTTTGGTATTGTTATTGTTCTTAGGTGCCATCGAGTCAGTGCTGACTCATAGAGACCTTATGCACAGCAGAACGATTCTGGGCCAACTTCACTACTGTTGCCACGCTTAAGCCCATTGATGCTGCCACTTGGCCAATCCATCTTGCTGGGGTTCTTCCTCTTTTTCTCTGACCCTCCACCTTACCAAACATGATATCCTTCTCCAGCAACTGGTCCCTCCTAACAGTATGGCCAAAGTATGAGAGATGAAGTTTGGCCATCTTGGTCTCCAAGGAGCACTCTGGCTGCACTTATTTACTACCCACCATTCACATGTATATGAGGTTATTGAAAATACCATGGCTTGGGTCAGGCGTACCTTAGTCCTCAAGCTGACATCTTTGCTTTTCAGCACTTTAAAAAGGTCTTTAATGAAATGATACATGATAGGATGAATGTAAAACTAATATTCTCCCATGTAACCTATCACATAATTCACAATAAAACATTTAAAAAAAAAAAGGTCTTGTGCAGCAGATTATTTGCCTAATGCAATACGTAGTTTTATTTCTTGACTGCTGCTTCCATGACTGTTGATAGTTGATCCAAGAAGAATGAAGTCCTTGACAGCTTCAATCTTTTCTCTGCTGATAAGAATGTTGTTTATTGGTCCAGTGGTGAGGATTTTTGTTTTCTTGACATTGAGATGCAGTCCATACTGAAGGCTGTGGTCTTTGATCTTCATCAGTAA